AACTACACCATTCAAAAAATATATTTTGATAAGATTCAGATATTATAAATCACGATTTTTCAGTAATAGGCATTATTCTGATTGTGGTATTTTGTCAAACATGGCAGTCATAAAGAAATGTATGAAATTCTACAATCTAAGCATACCATTAATATCAATTAAGAAATATTCCAAACGCATAAAGAAATCATAAGATTCGATAATTTTTTACGAACACAAATTTATTAAAAATCCAGAGAAATTTATCAAACAATACTGTTATTTTATTATGGTTTTAGTAAAAAGAATTTTAAATTTGCGAAAAAAATTTCTGGAAAAATTATTTTAAAAAAATAATCTTTTTCCACACTGTTAGAAATTTTGGAGCTTTTTAAAACATAATGTCGTTCAAATTTGCTGTAATTTTAGTATGGTGGTAAGAGATTAACAAACCGTAACCATATAAAGTTACCGAACATTTTAAACTTAATTACACGATATTCTCGTATAACTTGAACGGTTCAAATTACCATATTACGGTAGTAGATAATTTGTACCGTATTGTGGTTCAACGTCGAACCGATTTTTTAGAAAGTAACACTACTATAATTTTTACATTATTCAAGCTAACAAATTAAAAGACTTACCTGCATTTAATAATTCATGCAAACTTATGTCGAAAAGTGAAAATATTTGTCAAAATTAATAAATAACTTTCAAATAACAGTCTGCAAACCATTAAAATATTCTCCTTTAAATGTATTGTACTTTAAAATAAAAAATCCCGTATTCATAAGTTACCTTTCATAAAAACGAGACAAGCTGTTACCTCAAAGAAGGCCCCGATTAAATACTGGTTTCCCTTTTAAGTGACATCCTTTTCCGATAGGCAAGAGCGTTCTATCTTATCAGATCGAATAGTTTTTGATAGATTGCCAGCTACTTTCGACCATTTTGTAATTCCCCCTCCAAACTCTTTAGATTTCATGCTAAAGAGCTATCTTCAAAGCTATATAATTTTCGAGTTTATTAAGAATGTATTGTTTTAAGGTAGTCTGGCTGTTTTTCTAGCATTTATTACATAACTGATGAACAAAGGCCTATTGTGTTTTGAAACATTAACGTTTAGCGGGCAATTTTGCGAAGTAATAATTTTTTATGTTCCAGTGTTAAAATTTACCTGTTATGCAGATTTGCTAATAAAGAATAACTTTACGTTTAATTTAAAGATAAAAATGTTTCAAAGAAATGTAGAGAGATGTAACAAATTTTGGAATATAAACAAACTTGCTCCAATATCTTTAAAACGTTGAATGCTACGCTAATTTTACATGGCTTGCCCGTCTGGCCAAACGGTAAATAACTACAAACTAAATTTGCAAATATTAGACAGATTTTGCTAGTTTTTTTAAAGGCTTAGCATGACATATCTGAAAAAAGTGGTTTATTATATAAGCCTACGAATTGTTTAGAAATAGTGGTGGATAAAATTTTTCTAAATTGAATTTATTAAACCAAGAATCACAATTAATAAACTACCACTTGAAAATATTTATTAGCTGTCCGGAGCAAGTTGGCTTCTCTGTATTATAAATAAAACTATTTTTGTGTGTTCTATATTGCATTAATTTCTTCAAACCATTTTAGTAACAGTAATAATATAAAAAAATTAAAAATTTGCTTGAATTATGTGTTTCTAATCATCTTGGCTTCGGTGACCCCCATGGCATTCAACGTGTTAAAGAAATTTCAATGATTAATAACTGTTTCTATTAGATATAAATAACTCCAAATAAGTGCAAATTTTAGAAATAAAATAAGTGCAAATTTTAAAATTAAAATAAGTGAAAATTTTAAAATTAAAATTAGTGCAAATTTTAGAAATTATTGCTTGGAAGTGAGCCGTGATTGGTAAATTTTACCTTTTACGCAGAAAAAGACACCGGCGTCTCATGCTGTATTTCATAACCGATAATTATTAAAATACTAAATATAATAGTTTTCACTTATTTTGATCTAAATACAAATAATGAAAAAGTATGAAAAATATATTTAATAAAAATTCTGCATTAAAGGGTTAATCAGTCGATATAAACAACCAATCTGTGGTTTTTTTTTGTTAATTTCTGCAATTTTAAACCCAATTTAGAAATCAAATAACTCAGGATTAAGACTAACTAGTCATTTTGAGAGGAGATAGACTGCATTAGCGTCACATAGAATAACTAAACCCCTAAATGTCAAAGTGAGGAAATTATTCTATGATTTGTTACCAAAAATTACTCATAAGGATAATGTCAGTTATCCTGTTTGCTGTAAACTGAAAATAATATAGAAATAAACTATCCAAAGCGGTACGGGTTTCAAACCTTTGTTTTTCCGTAGGAAGTACGCGACTAGCTGAAAAGGAAAATTTTCTCAAGTTGAAAATTAAGAAAAGATCTAAGAAAAACAAATAAGAATTAGTAATGAAAGATTTAAAAGAAAACCAATTAAAAAGAAATAGCAACAAAAATTTGAAAAAAAAGTAAGAAGAATTTAATAAAAATGAAGACAAATTGACCAGGAAAACCATAAAAAAAGACGCGTTCTGATACAACATCAATATCGCCAGATCATAAGATTTTATAGGGTCGGGGTAGCCTGGCTGGTAGGGTCGTGGGTTCGATTCCTGCAGGCCGAAGACTCCCCGTGTAGTAAATGGTGACTGATGTATGCTAAATCTGTCGAGTCTCAAAGTCCCATAAAAAATCAATACCTCTAAGGGTGCTGAATTGGAGATTGATCGTTCTCTGATTCAGGTCAAGATTACGATCTGTGGATGAATGGATGGATATATGAATCGATCCGCCCTATAAACGGGTGTGACGTATGGGTGTGGCAGAAGTCGAATTCTTGACCATAGATGGCGCCACTGGAAAACAAGAACAATCGCACCCACCTCTGCCTTAATGGCATACATCAACAACAACATAAGATTTTATACAATACTGCAACTACATAATTAAGTTTCCAGGTTACAAATTACGAACGTCAAGCGTAATAGAGAGTGCCAGGAAAACATTTCTAAATGTGTTTTCATATTGAAGTTAAGAAGTTATTGAAGTTTCATATTGATCTAATTGGCTTGTTGCCTTGCATTTGCGCAAGGTAACATGCTGGACAGTTCAATCATTACTAATTAATTCTCTTAATTTTCAATTTTAATCATATGTATATACATAATCCGTACAGTTATATAATTAGACAAAAATAACACATAAGACTATGTGTGATAAAAGAGATAGATTATTATAAGTGTAACTAAGCTATGGCGAGCCATAAATCACAGCTTGTTGCCTTAGGACTTTGTTTATAAATTTCTAAATGCTGATGGAAGCTATTGGATACCATTACATTCGCAGATAAGTGTCGAAAGCTGATTGTAAAAACCGGCCCTTTGCAAATGTTGCAGACATTTTGCAATACGTCGAGCTAACTAGAAAAATGTTCAATGTTTGTAAATCTGCCAAATATTCTTATTACATACCATAAATCTAATTAGAAAACATTCAAAGAATTACTTAGACTGAATTCGTTTTGGTTTATTGTAATAAAACTTTAAAGAAACTATTTGTAATAGGTATTCACTAATATAGGCTTATTGCAAACTGTCAGAAACAAATCAAGATGATTGAGTAATGAATGGTATATTTTATAATTTGTCTAAAAATAAAGTTTGTCTGTAAAATGTTTTAAAAATGTCTGATTGATTAGTGAAATCTGGAAACTTGTACAACTAGGTATATTGTTTGGAAAGTGCCGGATTATTTGCCGAAATTAAATTTTGAAATAAATACTTGAATAAATATGCTTGTGCATGTAACATATATAATGTTGCCCATTGATTAGGGTTTTAGATGTTTTAACATAGGCATCACATCTCGAATTTATAGTTTAAAATTTTCTTAAACTAGTGTCTAATACCAAAATTCTTCATGTAAAAAAAATTACCTATTTAATCATATATTTAATCTTATTTCAATATTCGTTGAAATCTATTTTGATATAAGATAATATTCGAATATTTTAAGAGATATAATTAAAATTTTTTACTTTCAAAATATATATATTTTTTATTCATTTCCTTTTTCATGCATTTCAAAGAATTAAAAATTTAATAAATATTATACTAATAGTATTATTATTCAATTATTATGTAATAATTGATTAATAATACTAACTAATCCTCAATTAAAAATTGAAGATTAGTTAGTATTATTAATCTGTAATATTCGATTGGTGGCTACACGTATATTTTTAATTTTATTTCTTACCAGTTGACATTTTCACAGTTTTCTTAACTGTAAATAGTTAACAGTAACAATAAAGGATCAGGTAGTATAATAAACAATAAAGGTAGCATAATAAACAATAAAGGATTAGGTAGTATAATGAACAATAAAGGATATGATAGTATAAAACCAATAATTTTGAATGAAATTGTTCTATTGTACATATTTTAAAGACACGAATCCATATTTAATGTAGTTTTAAGCTATAAGCTGTTAGTTACGTATTACAATTTATTGCTAATTTCTCAATACTTTTATATTTCTTAAATGAAACTTCTAAAAGATTCAAATATGGGCAGAAAAGTCTTGAACAGTTGTCAAGAAAGTACTTTTAAAAATCCATGGTTTAAATATATTTACTAAAATATTGTTATCAATCAGATTTAATATAAACAAAAACACTGGGCTTAAAATATTAGTGGAAGAATTAGTAAACATATCTCTTCTTGTCATATAATTTTAAACAAAACAAATAGTTACTATTATCATATTGACAGTCATCAAATAACATTTAATACTAAATTAATTAGTATTTTATTTGACATTTCAAATAACCTATTTTGAAAGCAAACGACGTTGATTCAGTTAGGCTTTTTAAAGTGAGATAATCTAATAGTTTCGAATTCGCGATCTGTAACAATAGTCTAAATGATAGAAATAAATAATTGATCAGGAAAAATCACTCACCTTTTTAACGCTTACATTCTTTGGATATTCGGCATCAAATTCTAAAAATTTCAGTTTTACATCATAGGAATTTACTGTTCGAAACATTTTCTTTAAAAGGAAGAAAAATACAATCCCCAAAAAATATAATTCTATTTCCTTGATACAGATATATTTTACGTGACCAAAATAGTGAACTGTTGAATCACAATATCATGCTCTATTGGAAATGGTGACGTAAAAATGTCTTTTTTATTGTTTTTCACTTCCAAGCATAGGTATGCTTTTTTCATAAAATAGAATCGCATGGAAATTCTGTTCGAGTGCAAAGCTATAAACACTGGTTTTAAAAAAATAACATTTAAATTAGTGATTGGATGATGTTTAGAAAGTAGGACCAATGTTGCTATACCGAACTTTTCAGCTTAAACCACAATTAGTAAATAACTTTTTTCAGCTGTTTACAAGTCGATTATTCGGAGCAGTTCCAATGACTCGGCTTTTTGGACAACACCAACTCTTATTTATTTCTTCACTTGCATGTCCCACGATTTCCAGTAGATCACTGAAGACAAGCATCACTGGTTGCGGTCAGTGAGCGGGTGGGTTATCACATTGATTAGCCTGTGGAGGGACCGAGAGTGCACGGTATCGGTCCTCATTAATATGTGATAGCATAAAGTGCTCGATTTCGCGTGTTGGTCATCGGGCTGCCAAAGCAGAGGAGCCATGTCTTCTGCAGAGAGTCAAAATTGTGATGGCATGTCTTCAATTCATCCTCCGGTATGTTTTCTAGACCGCCGCCAATAGCTCATTGCACATCTTTAGTGTGACGAAGATGAAGTAGAAAGAATTCACACACATAGAGGGGCTTGAGTGCTCAATATAAATAATGATCAATACAAAATAAAACAATAGAGAGAAAAGTGGAGGGGAGCAGTACAGAGATACATCAAGAGTCACCCCAGGATTCGAACCTGCTACCTATACCCACTCTTTATTTATTTATTCACTTAATGCTATTCTGCGTGTTCAATACAAAAAACGGTTTACAAATTCCTGTCAAATAGAAGAAACGATATCACAAATGATAGAAGGACAGCACACAGATACATCCAGTGTTACGTCGGTTTTCGAACCAATCACCTCAACGAGTCAAATTGTTTGACAAAAAAGTGATACCACATGGGCACAACCATTCCTGCTTTTTCTGTAGCGTAGGATAGCGGGTTCGAATACCGTCTGTCGTAATCCTGGACGTATCTTTGTGATTGTTCATTTCAAACTTGTGCTTTATCCTCTTCACAACTTGACAAGGGCATACAAGCCGCATCTGTAATGAACACGCAAGTCTGTATTTAAAGGTATAACAATAAATAAAATTTAATTTGATCGATTGAAGCATTGTACGCAATTCAAATGTAACTGATGGGGTTCTTTAGTGATTAAATTATTGATTTAATGAACGTTTACATCTTTGATTGGGACTTATACTTTCATCAAGCCGACCAGGTGGTCCAGTAGTTAGTCTGCCTGACTGCGGAGTCGATGGTTGCGGGTTCGATTCCCGCTCAGGGCATGGACGTTTCTTTCTCTCTCTCTCTGTGTTCTATGTCCTTTCTTCTGTGTGATTGTGTGAATGTGACCCGCCCTATAACGGGTTTGTGGTTGTGTGACGTGGGCGACGCTGCTCCACCACCGTGGCTTGACCATAGGTGCTCACTGGGTAACGAGAAGAGAGTAGCAATTCTGGCATTTCTGAGGCCAATGGGAAATAGAACCAAGTGCCCACCATTAACCAAAAAAAAAAACATTTCATCAGTACTAGAAAACTTGTTTAGTACCAGTTTTCTGCTGTTTGGAAAAATTGCTGAACAAACGTTTATAATTATCAAAATATTGTTATTACTTCGAATTAAAAGCATTGGAATCTAGCTTATAAGCATAAATGCTTCTTTATAATTATAGTTAAGTTCGATCGGTCAGACCACTCGGTCAGGGAGGCCCCTTAATAAACATTTAAATTTGAAAAATATTAACATCTAAGTATATGCTATTTTTCCTTGTAAACACTTTTGTCTGATAAATATTCGTTGTTCCTGGACTCCAAATAGTAGTTGTTGTTCATTTACGTCGCACAAGAGCTGCACAATGGGCTAATGGCGACGGTCTGGGAAACATCCCTGAGGATGATCCGAAGACATGCCATCACAATTTTGATCCTCTGCAGAGGGGATGGTACCCCACTTCGGCAGCCCAACGACCTGCAAGCGAAGTCGAGCACTTTACGATAGAACAGTTTAAAGGGCCAATACCGAACACCCCCGGTTCCTACGCAGTCTGATCCAAGTGGTCACCCACCCGCACACTGACCACAGCCAGTGATGCTTGACTACATTGATCTGCTGGGAACCGTNGCATCAAATTCCAAAAATTTCAGTTTTACATCATAGGAATTTACTGTTCGAAACATTTTCTTTAAAAGGAAGAAAAATACAATCCCCAAAAAATATAATTCTATTTCCTTGATACAGATATATTTTACGTGACCAAAATAGCGAACTGTTGAATCACAATATCATGCTCTATTGGAAATGGTGACGTAAAAATGTCTTTTTTATTGTTTTTCACTTCCAAGCATAGGTATGCTTTTTTCATAAAATAGAATCGCATGGAAATTCTGTTCGGGAGCAAAGCTGTAAACACTGGTTTTAAAAAAATAACATTTAAATTAGTGATTGGATGATGTTTAATAAGTAGGAACAATGTTGCTATACCGAACTTTTCAGCTTAAACCACAATTAGTAAATAACTTTTTTTATTTGTTTACAAGTCGATTATTTGGAGCAGTTCCATTGACTCGGCTTTTTGAACAACATCAACTCTTATTTATTTATTCATATGCATGTCCCACGATTTCCAGGTCCCGCAGTGGACTGATCGTTAAGACACGGTTCCCAGCAGATCACCGAAGTCAAGCATCACTGGCTGCGGTCAGTGTGCGGGTGGGTGACCACTTGGATCAGTCTGCGTAGGGACCGAGGGTGTGCGGTATTGGTCCTCGTTAAACTGTTCTATCGTAATGTGCTCGACTTCGCGTGCAGGTCGTTGGGCTACCGAAGCTGGAGCGCCATCCCCTCTGCAGAGGATCAAAATTGTGATTGCATGTCTTCGGATCATCCTCAGGGATGTTTCCCAGACCGTCGCCAATAGCCCATTGTGCAGCTCTAGTGCGACGTAAATTAACTACAACTACAACAACCCACGATTTCCAGTAGATCTCTGAAGACAAGCATCACTGGTTGCGGTCAGTGAGCGGGTGGGTTATCACATTGATTAGCCTGTGGAGGGATCGAGGGTGCACGGTATCGGTCCTCATTAATATGTGATAGCATAAAGTGCTCGATTTCGCGTGTTGGTCATCGGGCTACCAAAGCAGAGAAGCCATCTCTTCTGCAGAGAGTCAAAATTGTGATGGCATGTCTTCAATTCATCTTCTGGTATGTTTTCCAGACCGTCGCCAATAGCTCATTGTGCAACTCTAGTGCGACGTAGATGAAGTAGAAAGAATTTACATACATAGACGGGCTTGAGTGCTCAATATAAATAATGATCAATGCAAATTAAAAGAATAGAGAGAAAAGTGGAGGGGATACATCAAGAGTCACGCCAGGATTCGAACCTGCTACCTATACCCACTCTTTATTTATTTATTCACATAATGCTAGTCTGCGTGCTCAATACAAGAAATGGTTTATAAATTCCTGTCAAATAAAAGAAACTATAGCACAAATGATAGAAGGACAGCACACCGATACATCCAGTGTTACGGCGGTTTTCGAGCCTATTACCTCAACGAATCAAATTGTTTGGCGAAAAAGGGATACCCCATGGGCACATCGGCTCCACACCCACTCTTGTTTTTCCTGTAGCGTAGGATAGCGGGTTCGAATACCGGCCGTCGTAATCCTGGACGTATCTTTGTGATTGCTCATTTCAAACTTGTGCTTCACAACTTGACAAGAGCATACAAGCCGCATCTGTAATGAACACGCAAGTCTGTATTTATAGGTGTAACAATAAATATAATGGATCGATTGAAGCATTGTACGCTATTCCAATGCAACTGATGGAGTTCTTTAGTGTTGTTGTTGTTGTTGTTGTTGTTGTTGTTAATTTACGTCGCACTAGAGCTGCACAATGGGCTATTGGCGACGGTCTGGGAAACATCCCGGAGGATGATCCGAAGACATGCCATCACAATTTTGATCCTCTGTGGAGGGGATGGCACCCCCGCTTCGGTAGCCCGACGACCTGCGCGCGAAGTCGAGCACTTTACGGTAGCACAGTTTAACGAGGACTAATACCGCACACCCTCGGTCCCTACGCAGACTGATCCAAGTGGTCATCCACCCGCACACTGACCGTAGCCAGTGATGCTTGACTTCGGTGATCTGCTGAGAACCGTGTCTTAACGATCAGTCCACTGCGGGACGGAGTTCTTCAGTGATTACATTATTGATTTAATGAACGTTTACATCTTAGATTGGGACTTATACTTTCATCAATACTAGAAAACTTGTTTAGTACCAGTTTTCTGTTGTTTGGAAAAACTGCTGAACAAACGTTTACAATTATCAAAATATTATTATTATTTCGAATTAAAAATATTGGAATCTAGCTTATAAGCAGAATGCTTCTTTATAACTATAGTTAAGTTGGATCGGTCAGACCACTCTGTCAGGGAGGCCCCTTGACAAACATTTAAATTTAAAAAATATTAATATCTAAGTACATGTTATTTTTCCTTGTAAACACTTTTGTCTGATAAATATTCGTTGTTCCTGGACCCCAAAAAAAAGCGGTTGTTGTTCATTTACGTCGCACTAGAGCTGTACAATGGGCTATTGGCGACGGTCTGGGAAACATCCCTGAGAATGATCCCGACACATGCCATCACAATTTTGATCCTCTGTAGAGGGGATGGTACCCCCACTTTGGTAGCCCAACGACCTGCACGCAAAGTCGAGCACTTTACGATGGAACAGTTTAACAAGGGCCAATACAGCACACCCCCGGTCCCTACGCAGACTAATCCAAGTGGTCACCCACCCTCACACTGACCACAGTCAGTGATACTTGACTTCTTTGATCTGCTGGGAACCGTGTCTTAACGATCAGTTCACCTGCGGGACTGGACTCAAAATACGGATTGCTAGGGATGCCGGGCTGAAGAGAAACTAGTACAAAAACTTTAGAAAACCACAGTTTTTTGAAAATCATATACGTCAGCGAAAACAAGAAAATATCATACAAATATTCAGGATAGAATCAACTTCATATAGTTGAATGGATGACTGGAGTGTTAACCTTCCATCAAATATATAGAACGTAAAGTCAGTTGGATAAATTTTGAATATAATTGCGATTAGTCACCATAATTAGTGGTCAATGAGGAAGAGGATGACCACTTTGATCAGACTGGGGTGAAGGGAACTCGGGTGTGTGGTATC